ATTTGAATAGACGATCAAACGCCCTTTCTTTAGATTAGGCATTTGCTCTATAGGGCTACTTCTATAGTAATCTATATAATACCTTGTAAAATAATGAAGAAGAAAAGATGGCGACATGATGATTTGGCAGGGTAAAACTTAAAGACACTATCACTTTCTAGGTATTTTCTATAGTAAAATAATACTAATTACATACTAAAAAACTACAAAGGACCCTACTTTTAGTCCTTTTACTACACATGAATTGTATGGGTTATACAGTATATTAAATAGCTGCGCTTGCAGATTCAACCTGTCTTGTATGATACAGATTAAGGAAGTTAAAGCTATAGATAACAAAATCTAAGTAAGGCATTCTCAAGAAATTAGTTATATTATACATTACAATCCTTGTAGGAGGATATTTATGTTATTACGGAAAAACTAAACAAAATCTATGGAATTATGTAATTTTCGCCAACTATGAATCATCGTTTATAAATAGGATGTTCACGATGCACGTACTGTATTTGTTAGAAAATATTAAAATTTATCATTAAACATATAACATCTACTATCGCTTGAATTTATAAACGGAATGTCGATGTTATTCTATCGTACTTATTTGAACTCCGAAAAGTCTACTGAAAGGTGTATCAAAACGTTTTGATTCTAGTTATAACAAAATACCCATAAATACTAAACGGTAAAAATGGATAACTATAAATAAAATGATAATGAATGATATTGTTGAGCCATATGATCACTTATGGTATTGCTGTTATGTACTAATAGGGTTGTGAAATAAGGCTGCCTAAGTGTTTACTGTTTATGATTGTATTCATATAGGAACATACAAGAATTTTACTATAAGTTAGAATATTAAATTATTATAAATTCTAATTAGAGCAACATATTGGTCAATAAATTAGATATGACAATATTGAATAGGTAAGTGACGGTATGTAACGACCATAATTAAGTCTAAGAAAAGAACATTTAAGACAAATGATTAGAGTTTAGATTTTAAAATGATTAAAGTACGCTTTGATTGTACTGTTGTACCATAATCAAAATATGTTATGTAGTTATCCTCCAGAGAGGATATTTACGTTGAAATCATCCAAATAAGAAGTAAATACCTCGTTTACAAAACAAAAGTAATGACCATTAAGTTTACTCAAATCGCTCCATTTACCACCATCATTTGCGCAAAAGTCCACCTTTACAAGATTGGTCTTCGATAAATATATATTTTGATCTCTATTTTATTACATATAACATTACAATATACTTAATATACTTGATAATCAATTAAATATGTATTAAAATTAAATGTTAGTGGATAATTTCATAACTACTATATGTAACAGAGCTTAAGTTTCAAATAAAAAGATATTTATAATATTGATATTACCATGATTTATATTGCGATATGGAAAAGTACCGAAATTTTCATATTAAATCACATTATAAGTTTACTGGCGCTACGTCATTTTCATAATACTGTGTTGGACAATAATGGTATTCAGACTGAATGTGTTCTAAAACTAGTTAGTACTGTACGGTTTACACGGCAATATTCAATGACAATTAGTATATAAATTA